AGACAGAATAACGTCCCCAGAGATGTCCACGTCCTAATCCCATGTGGGAGACAGAATAACGTCCCCAGAGATGTCCACGTCCTAATTCCACGTCAATCTCTACAACTCGTCTTAGAGACTCTCCATCCCCACCCCCGGGGCCGTGGGTCCCGGCTGTCTGTGCGGGGGGTTGGGATGGGTCCCGGGTCCACACTGAGCCTCCGTCCCTGTCCTGGTGGTTACTGAGCAGAACCTGCACCTGTTTTACCGCTTCAGTGGCCGAGGACCCGCCTGCCTCAGCTCGGGTTTACCCAGGGGGACCGCACTGGGCTTCTGGCCTCTGGACCATCCACCGTGTGTGGTTTTGGCCACCACTCTGTTGTCACTTGTCATATTACCTGGTGGGGACTTCCAGTCACAGAGCCCTGGGGTGCAGGACGCAGGAGATCCACTCCACGAGGCCCTGACAGCGAGAGCGGGCGCGAGGACGTCCCTGTCATCAACAAGACAATCTCACTGTCACCCTGATCTCCGGCTGAGGTGGGGGGTCTCTGGGAGTTCCAGGGACAGGGTGGCGGGTGGTGGGGGTCAGGGACAGGGTGGGGGTGTGGGGGGAAGTCCAGCGGAACAGGGTGGGGGTGTGGAGGCCGGCGGGGGGTGTGGGAGTCCCAGGGACAGGGTGGGGTGTGGGGAGTCCAGGGGAGGGGGTGTGTGGGGGAGTCCAGGGGACAGGGTGGGCGGTGTGTGGGGAGTCCAGGGACAGGGTGGGGGTGTGGGGAGTCCTGGGGATAGGGTCAGGGGGTGTGGGAGTCCAGGGACACAGGTGGGGGTGTGTGGAGGTCCAGGGGACAGGGAGGGGGTGTGGGGGCAAGTCCAGGGGACAGGGTCGAGGCGGCGTGGGAGAAGTCCAGGCGACAGGGTCCGGGGATTGGGAGGAGTCAGGGGACAGGGTGCGGGGGTGTGGGAGGAATCCAGGGACAGCGGGGAGTCCAAGGGGAACAGGGTAGGTGTGGGGGAGTCCAGGGACCAAGGTGGGTGTGTGAGGGAGTTCCAAGGGACAGGGTGGGAGGGTGTGGGAGAGTCCAGGGGACAGGGTGGGGGTGTGTGGGAGAGTCCAGGGGACAGGGTGGGGGGCTGTGGGAGAGTCCAGGGGACAGGATGGGGGTGTGTGAGAGAGTCTGGGGGACAGGGTGGGGGTGTGGGGAGTCCAGGGGACAGGGTGGGGGTGTGGGAGAGTCCAGGGGACAGGGGTCGCGGCAGGGATTCTGAGAGCCCGGGTGCCACACGGCTGAGTCTGCGCACTCAGCAAACAGGCAGGCGTGAGGCGGGTGGGGGCGGGTTGGCTCCCGCAGGGCCAGGGACGGAGACACCTGACAGACACGCCCCCTCCTGAACGTGCAAGTCTGGGACACCCCCCTCCCGGACAAAATGCCCGTGCCCTGACGCCCACGGAGCAGCCCAGGATGGGGCAGACCCACACCTGCCTGCAGCCCGCGCCGCCGGGGCAGAAATAACCTGAAGCGCGCGGAGGCACCGCCCGACTTTTTAAAGCTCCCCGCCCTCGAGTGCGTGCTCGGGCATTTGCTAAAGATCCTTCCCTCGAGGTACCCAGAAAGCTCCCAGAAGCTCCTCGGTGGTTGACGTGGAAACAAAGTCCGTAAACGCATTTGGCTTCAGTGTCAATTTTAATTCTGTAAAGTGAACGATTCGTGCGAGCAGCTCCTGACACAGACGCCAGGGCATCGAGATGGGGTTTGCAGGGACGCCAGGCCCCGACATCCTTCATCTCCGGCGTGTCCTTCTCTGACCCTGACCCTTGACCCTGACTCTGACCGTAACCCGGTGGCATCGTGATGGGGGTTTGCAGGGATACAAGGCCCCGGCATCCGACTTAAATACGTTCCTTCATCTCCGGCATATTCTTCTCTGACCCTGACCCTTGACCCTGACTCTAACCCTTGACCCTGACCCTAACCTTGACCCAGGGTGATGGAGGTTTGCAGGGAAGAGAGGCCCCGACGTCTGATTTAATACATTCCTTCATCTCCGGCATGTTCTTCTCTGACCCTGACCCTAACCCTATTCCTGACCCTTGACCCTGACTGACCCTAACCTTGACCCAGGGCATTGTGATGTGGGTTTGCAGGGACCTGAGGCCCCGACATCCAATCTAAATACATTCCTTCGTCTCCAGCGTGCTTTTCTCTGACCCTGACCCTGACCCGAGCTCTCCCCGGATGGCTGCCCGGCCGTCACAGCCCTGAGGTACCTGACAGGCCGCGATCCACGCCTCTGCCTCTCGGGATTCCAGGCACCTTGGTTTAACCACAGTCACCAGGCACCAAAGTCCGAGCAGATTTTCTTTGGGAAAACGCCGACTTGCTCCCTGGCCGAGCACAGCCCAGCGAGGGCCGGCCAGTCTCCTCCAAGCCTGCGCCGGGACCCCACGACCCGCTGTTGTCCGCACAGCAGGGGAGCCCCGACACGGCAACCGCGAACGCGAACCCGCCGGCGCTGAGGCATCTCCAGGGCCCCACAATGCGCGGCCGCCCTGTCCGCATCTTGCGTGGAGCGAGGCCCGCGCCACTCACGCAGGGGCGTCCCCGCGAGGACAATGGACGGCGCTGCTGTCCCTGTGGCACCGGCGGGGGTTCAGTGCAGGGGTGACTGCGGTGCAGGGGTACCGTGAGGTGATGGTGCAGGGGTGACGCGGTGCAGGGGTGACTTGGCGCTGGGAGACGCCGGCTTGCGCTTGAGGGTCGGTAGGGGGTGGCAGGCGTGGGGGTCACTCGCTCTAGGCACCCGATGGCCCCGGGGAGGGACGGCCCCAGGGCCACGACTGGGGGACACAGGGTCGCCGTCAAAGGCCCCGAGGTCGCCTGCGCCCGGCCCGCACCGCGGCGGAGCTCGCCCGACCGACGGGGACCGACGACGGGGACCCACGGGGACCGCGGGCGCGGGACGCGGCGGGGCAGCTCAGGGCGGCGGCAGCAGCTTGCGGTTGAGCCCCACGACGTCGCCCACGAAGGTGCCGGCGCCCACGAAGTCCCCGGCGATGACGCAGGTGCAGCGCGGGCCGGGCCCCGGGCGCTGCTCGCGCACCCAGGCGCACAGGCGCGGCAGGCCGGGCAGCGTGAGCCCGCGCAGCGACTGCGACGGGTGCGCCAGGATGTAGGCCAGGCTCTCCGTCAGGTTGATGCCGCCCCCCCCCCCCCCCCCCGCCAACGAACAGGCGCCTGCGGGGGGGGGGCACGGGGTCAGCTGCTCCCGCCCGCACGGGTTCCCCAATGCCCGCGCCCTCCGCCCCACCCCGCCAGAAGGCCCGGTCCGGCCCACCCCACTGGCCGGCCGGGTGGGGCTTAAATAAGCCACGTCTGGTGTGTGAGGTGGAGGCCACGCGGATGTCTGGCAAGGAAGCGGGTAGCTAAATGATGATGTTGAATTTGAGAGACAGGTGGAGAGACAGAGACAGAGGGAGAGATGGAGAGACAGAGTGAGAGGAGAGACAGAGACTGAGAGAGAGATGGACAGATGGAAACAGAGAGAGATGGAGAGACAGAGATGGAGAGGCGGAGAGACAGAGGGAGAGATGAGAAACAGATGGAGAGAGAGACAGAGATGGAGAGACAGAGAAATGGAGAGAGAGATGGAGAGACGGAGAGACAGAGATGGAGAGACAGAGACAGAGAGATGGAGAGATAGAGAGAGATGGAGAGATGGAGACGGAGAGAGAGAGAGATGGAGAGATGGAGACGGAGAGAGAGAGAGATGGAGAGACAGTGAGAGAGAGAGATGGAGAGACAGAGAGAGAGGGAGAGACTGAGAGAGAGAGAGGGAGAGACAGAGAGAGGGAGAGACTGAGAGAGAGGGAGAGACTGAGAGAGAGAGGGAGAGACTGAGAGAGAGAGGGAGAGACTGAGAGAGAGGGAGAGACAGAGAGAGAGAGAGGGAGAGACAGAGCGAGAGAGGGAGAGACTGAGAGAGAGGGGGGGGGAGCTCGCAGGCATGGCCGTGCTCCGAGGAGCCACGTGGCTCCACCCTCCTCTGTGAGTGGCAGTGACGACAGTCCCTTATTTCATGCATTGAAAATAAGCCACAGGTTTCCCGGCCTCACAGAAAACGTGGCCACTACCTCATCAGCCACGCCCTGCTCTCTTCCTTCTCTTTGCCGCATCTAACATGCTGAAGGTTCTAGCCTCCCCTTGGAGAAAAACAGCCCCAGCTTGTCTGCGGTTTGTGTTTTTCCCAAAATCTCGGCCTGATAAAGCTCCGTCGAGTGAGATTTTTGCCTCAGTCATTCATCTGGGTTGACACGCAGATGCTCATGTTATGTATGCACACGCGCACACGCATCTGTGACTTTTAAATTTCTTTCACTTAAAAGTGCAGGTGAGGCCGGGCGCGGTGGCTCACGCCTGTCATGCCAGCACTCTGGGAGGCCGAGGCAGGAGGATTGCTTAAGGTCAGGAGTTCAAGACCAGCCTGAGCAAGAGCGAGACCCCGTCTCTACTAAAAATAGAAAGAAATTAGACAAAAACATACAGAAAAAATTAGCCGGGCATGGTGGCGCATGGCTGTAGTCCCTACTACAGCCTCCTCCCGAGTCAGCTACTCGTGAGGAGACTGAGGCAGGAGGATCGCTTGAGCCCAGGAGTCTGAGGTTGCTGTGAGCTAGGCTGACGCCACGGCACTCACTCTAGCCTGGCCAACAGAGTGAGACTCTGTCTCAAAAAAGAAAAAATTAAAACGTGGAGGTGAGCGGGTGGCCGGGCAGCAGAAATGTACCCGGCGCCGTGGAACCTGCCCCGCTGGGAGCCCCCGTACGGTACCTGGGCGGCCTTTGCTCTTCATGGACTCCAGGTAGCGGATGAGCGCCTCCGTCTTGACCTTGTTCCCCCACCAGTAGGGGATGCCGGGCCACAGCTCGCAGTGCCGGCCCACGCAGCTCTCGTCCTCATAGGAGACCAGCACCTGCTGCTCCCGAGACCAGAGCTGCCGCAGCGTGGGCACCTCCTGGGGGGCGGGGGCGGGGGTGAGGGGGCGCCGGGGCTGTCTCTACCCCAGCACCCCGTCCTCAGGAGGCCGCAGGGCCTGCTCGGTGGAAGCGGCCCCCAGCACGCACGCACCCGGCTTGAGACGACACCCCTCCATAGCGGTTAGTGCCGCGAAGATGATTAACGCAGACGTTAGTAAAGTTAGTTGTTAACCCGCCTGACGTCAGTCTCACCTGCAGGGCCCCGGCCACGGAACCCAGGGACCCGCACTGCGGAAGTGAGGAGACCTGCTCAGTCGCTTCACCCAGCACCTCAGCAGTCACAGCCGGACACCTCAGCAGTCTCACCTGGACACCTCAGTGACCCCACCGGGATACCTCAGCCATCTCACCGGGACACCTCAGCCATCTCACAGGGATACCTCAGTGACCCCATCAGGATCCCCAGGTGGAGATGGCTGAGGTGCGGTTGCTAGGCCCTGTGAGATGGCTGAGGTGTCCCTGTGAATGTGCTGAGGTGTCCTGTGGATGGCTGGTGTCCAGGTGAGTAATGGCTGAGGTA